AAAAATTATTTAAAAAAGAAGAATGTTTCCACTCAAGTTGATGCGTTCTTGGTATTTTTTTTTTTAAAGATTTTATTTATTTATTGAGAGAGGACGCGCGAGAGAGCATGAGCAGGGGAAAGGGGCAGAGGGAGAGGGAGAAACAGACTCCCGGCTGAGCAGGGAGTCAGATTCGAGGCTTGATCCTAGGACCCTGGAATCACGACCTGAGCCAAAGGCAGACACTTAATCAACTGAGTGACCCAGGCTCCCCATTCTTGGTACTTTTAATGGTATTGAGTCTGACAATGCAAAGCAAGAATCAGAGGATGTGATACGGGATACTTTATCAATTAGCAATGATGATGTTACTATCTGCCACGTTAGGGCTGCCACCACTGAGAGAAATGAAATCTGCCAAATTGATGATACCAGTCCTGGGGTTACTACACCTATCAAGCAAGACGGTGTTCACTGTCAACCTGCCATGAACTAGGAACATTAAGAACCAGGGGGCAGTAAAAGAGGCCCTTCTCTTTCCCCTTACATACATGTAAGTATTACCTTTACCAGTTCCGGCTCTTCTGCCTGAAGGTGAAGTTCTTCATCTGGCTGGGAATCTTCCGGATTCTGAGGGGATACAGGATAAGATCTTTCAGTGATAGGCTGCCTATGACCTACAGCAGAGCCTCAACAAGCAACATCAGTCCACCGTGGATGTGGCATATATGGGATAACATCTTCTATTGTTTTATTTAGGGCTGAAATTAATGTCCCATAGTAACATCTAATTATAATCTTTTTTGACCTTGTTTAAGACAAGGACAAACACAAGACCGATAAAGATATAACTGCATAGTTTCTAAAGGAGGCTTCCAACAAAGAACCTATCACAACAAAAATAAATTTATAAGAGGCCTTCAGAAGGGAGAATTATGTAGCTTTCCATGTAAAGTTGAAATGCATTTCTTCAGAAAGTATCTATCTTGCTCAAGAAAAGTACTCAAAACCTACTAACACTATGTATTTTCCACAGTAGAAAATCCTTAGTGCTGTGGGGGTCAGGGGGACCAGATATCTCAGTCATTCAGGAAGCATTTCAGGGACTTCTCACTATATTGTTTTCTTCCAAACCTTATAAACTGTATCCCCATGAGGGCCTGATTTTATAGATGAAATGGTCTTCTATTCTTTTCTTTCTATTAGTACTTAACGATTTTAAGTTTTGTGTGTGCCATTTTAAAAACTATGGGTAATACAACTGTTTAAAGTCCATTGAGAAAAAATGTTATCTTAGTTCTTCCCTCCCAAGTTCTTATCTAAAAAATACAAATATTCAGCTTCCAGAAAATGTGAACCTCAACCTCTGGTAATTAGGAATGGGTCTGACCATGTCAATACTAGACAAATACTTTGGATCTACTGATCAAGGGCAACATTTTGGTTTTTATTTATCTTTTATCTCTCTCTTTTTTTTAAGCAGGCTCCACGTGGAGCCTAACACAGGGCCCAAACCTAAGACCCTAAGATCAAGATCTGAGCTGAGATCAAGAGTCAGACGCTCAACCAACTGAATCACCAAGATGCCCCTTATTTATCTTTCAAGGGTACGTTTTAAGGATTATTTTCATTGTACATCCCAGCTACAAAGAATAAAAGATCACTACTGCAGGTTACTGCATATTATTACTAGAACAAATTATATTTGTTGGTATCCTCTTTCTTTGGGGTCTCCTATTTCAGAAAGTCACTGCCAAAATACAGCTTTTATCACATTAACACCCATCTCAAACACACACTCACACACATACATATGTATACTTAAATGTCTTCAGGGAAACATTAAAAGATTCAGCTTAAATATCGAATTCAGTCCTGTCTTTCATATTCCAACTGGAATCACTAGCGCACCCCTCTGTTCTCTGCCACAGGGCCTTTCCCTTGAACTCCCTTCTCACCTGAACCACCCTCACAAATTCTTGATGACAATTTAAATCCCGCTTGTAACTGGGTACCACCCTAAGTCTAACTGTTCTCAGGAGGTTTCTCATGGACCAATTTTGCCCATAGTCATGTCTCATTTTTATTTCAGAGCACTCATTTTCTTTATCATATGGCTAAGCAAATATCATTCACCTAAATAAATTGTGTAACTATTTCTTTTGTATGCCTTACCACAATGAGACTGCAAGCTCCCTACAGCCAAGCACTGTGTCTTAAAAATCTTCTTTCTCTCCATGTCATCTATTAAGCTTGGTCACTTTTTTTTTATTAACATATAATGCATTATTTGTTTCAGGAGTATGGGTCTGTGATTCATCAGTCTTACACAATTCAAAGCACTCACCATACGCTCCCTAATGTCCATCACCCAGCCACCCTATCCGTCCCACCCCCCTCCACTCCAGCAATTCTGTTTGTTTCCTGAGATTAAGAATCTCTTATGGTTTATCTCCCTCTCTGATTTCATCTTGTTTCATTTTTCCCTCCTTCCCCTATGATTCTCTGTCTTGTTTCTCAAACTCCTCATATCAGGGAGATCATATGATATTTGTCTTTCTCTGACGACTTATTTTGCTTAGCATAATACCCTCTAGTTCCATCCACGTCGTTGCAAATGGCAAGCTTGGTCACTTCTTAATGGGTAGAAAAGAGGAGATCACTGAGAGTGGGCACAAGGGGAATGGTCCCTCTTAATTAAGAGGGTGTGTGCGTGTGTGGGTGTGTCTGTGTGTATATATATTTTTCCCAAAATTTCCTAAACAAAATTTCCAATTTAAAATATTCCATTCTTCTACCCCATAAATAACTGAAATTTCCTGGGAATGATACAAATTTAACATCAAAAGTAAATTTCCTAGACTGCCTATCTATCAAAAACAGCAAAAAGTATTTTTTGAAAGATCATGTCTCTTGATATTTGCTTCAATATGTATAATGAACCTTTTACAGATTACAAGCTTTACTATGATGAACCCAATTTTCATGGGTGAAACAATTTGATTCAGTTACCAGAAGGGGTGTGGGTAAGGTAGGCAAGTCACGGGCTTCAGGAAAAACAGACATGCTCTGAAACCAAGAAGCAGGTCAGGACCAGAGGAAACCCCAACTTACCAGAGGTCCAACTGAAAAAACCATAGCAGCCCTAATCTCTTCCTCCGGGTTCCCCTCTCTGGCAAGAGTGGAGTCTTGCAATGGCATATCTGAGAAAGAGAAAGAAATAAGCTGTGAACACCCAACCTGCCTTGGAAATCTCAGACTTATCTAGTTGGAATCCTGACATCACAAGTAAGCATGACTTCCCTAAAGAACACAAGATTAACCCCCAAGATCAGTGAGGAAGAAAGATCCTTGCTCCTGGAGATCTTGACATTTTAATACCATTAAATGTAGTCACGGCTAGCAGGCCAGACATTGTATAAGGTGCTTTTAATTTGAACTTCACATCAATCCAATGGGAATTATATTCCCCTTCCACTGATCAGGAAAATGAAGCTTAGAGAAATTATACTATTTATCCAAGGCTATGCATGACCCCAAATCGGTCTAATTCCAATGCCCACAACTTTTCCATTAAATCAACTTGCTATATGACGTGAAAGAAAATAATTCAATTGTTCTTTGCGACAAGCACCTACTCATCTAAAAATGAAACATGCTAAGAATCTCTTCTTATCTTTCATGTGACGATCAATTTACTAACATTTTCGGAGATTTCAGCTTCATATAAAGAGAACACCACGGGCACCTGGGTGGCTCAGATGGTTAAGCATCTGCCTTTGGCTCAGGTCATTATCCCAGGGTCCTGGGATCGAGTCCCACTTCAGGCGCCCTGCTTAGTAGGGAGCCTGCTTCTCCCTCTGCCTCTCTCTCTCTGTCTCTTATGAATAAATAAATAAAATCTTTAAAAAAAAATTAAAAAGAGAACACCACAACTTCCAAATTTAAAAGAAGTCCTGACATGCTTCTCTAAATCTCATATTCAAATAGATCTTTATCTACTCATTCTGTATCAGGCAAACCCAAATAAAAAGGAAGCAGGAAAAGAAAAAAAAATAATATGGCCCTGCTAATGCTGAGTTTGGTTGCAAAACAAGAGCCTGATGTTTGTAAACATTCTTTTTTTTTTTAAAGATTACTTATTTATTTATTTGACACAGAGAGAGACAGCGAGAGGGAACATAAGCAGGGGGAGTGGGGGAGGGAGAAGCAGGCTTCCCATGGAGCAGGGAGCCCGATGTGGGGCTCAATCCCAGGACCCTGGGATCATGACCTGAGCCGAAGGCAGACGCTTAATGACTGAGCCACCCAGGTGCCCCTGGAAACATTCTCTTAATAAGTGCATAGTCGCAGAATGATGCTGCAAGACATATAAAAGAGCAGTGGTGCAGTAAGAATTAAGCTTCCCAGATTTTGTGAAATTCTTTTTAATGACAGTTTCCTAGGAAGTTTGATGCTCTCACCATGCAGTAGGGCTTTTGGGGCCCAAAAGAATCTACGCAGGATTATGCTGAATCTGTCCTTGCCTTACATAGACAATTTGTCTCCATTAAGAATTCACATCCAAGAGCTTTGTATTCAAAAGTGTAGACTGAAGAACAGCAGCATAAACATTACTGGAGAGCTTGTGAAAAATGCAAAATTTGAGGTCCAACTTCAGAACCTATTAAGTCAGAATCAGCTTTTTAATAAGATCCCTAGCTGATTCATATGCACACATTAAAGTGTAAGATAATATGGGTCTAAAAAAGATCATGACGACAAATGGACAACCTAGAAGAAATGAGTAAATTCCTAAAACATACAACCTACCAAGACTGAATCATGAAGAAAGAGAAAAATCTGACACACTGATTACTAGTAAGGAGATTGAATCAATAATAAAAAGTCTCTCAAAAAACAAAGTCCAGGACTAGGTAGTTTCATTGGTGCATTCCATCAAACATTTAAGAAGAATTAATACCAAACCTTCTCAAACTCTTCCAAAAAACATAGAGGAAGGAACACTTCCAAACTCATTTTACGAGGCCAGCATTATTGCGATACCAAACCAGGCAAAGACACCACAAGAAGGGGTGCCTGGGTGGCTCAGTCGTTAAGCGTCTGCCTTCGGCTGAGGTCATGGTTCCAGGATCCTGGGATCGAGCCCCGCATCAGGCTCTCTGCTCAGCAGGAAGCCTGCTTCTCCCTCTCCCACTCCCCCTGCTTGTGTTCCCTCTCTCGCTGTCTCTGTCAAATAAATTAAAAAAAAAAATAAAAAAAAAAGACACCACAAGAAAAGAAAATTAGAAGTCAATAACCCTCTTGAACATAGATGCAAAATTCCTCAACAAAATATTAGCATACTGAATTCAACAATACACCAAAAGGATCATACACAATGACCAAGTGGATCAAGTGGATTTATTCCAGGGATGCAAGAATGACTCAACATCTGCAAGTCAATCAAGGTGATACATCACGTTAAACAAAATGAAGAATAAAAATCATATGATCATCTCAATAGATGCAGAAAAAGCACTTGGCAAAATCATCATCCATTTACGATAAAAGCTCTCAACAAAGGCCATATATGACAAGACCACAGTTAACATACTCAATGGTGAAATTATAAAAACTTTTTTTTTCTAAGGGGCGCCTGGGTGGCTCAGTCGTTGAGTGTCTGCCTTCGGCTCGGGTCGTGACCCCAGGGTCCTGGGATCGAGCCTCACATCGGGCTCCCTGCTCCGCGGGGAAGCCTGCTTCTCCCTCTCCTACTCCCCCTGCTTGTGTTCCTTCTCTCGCTATGTCTCTCTCTGTCAAATAAATAAATGAAATCTTAAAAAAAAAAAAAAGAAGGAACTTAAAAAAAAACAAAAAAACCTTTTTTTTTTCTAAAATCAGGAACAGAACAAGACAAGGATGCCCATTCTCATCATTTATAGTCAGCATAATATTGGAAATCCTAGCCAGAGCAATTAGGCAAGAAAAAGAAATAAAAGGCATCCAAATTGGAAAACAACTGTTATTATTTGCAGATGACATACTTTTATATGTAGAAACTCCTAAAGAATCTGCCAAAAAACTGTTAGGATAAACAAATTCAGTAAAGTTGCAGGATACAAAAATCAACTTATAAAAATCAGTTGTGTTTCTATATACTAATAATGAACTGTAAGAAAGAGAAATTAAGAAAATAATCCCACTTACAATTGCATCAAAAAGAATAGAATACCTAGGGATAAATTTAATCAAGGAGGTGAAAGACCTGTACATTGAGACCAGAAGACATTAAATGGAAAGATATTCTGTGCTCATGGATCGGAAGAACCAATATTGTTAAAATGTCCATACTATCCAAAGCAATTTACAGATTTAATACAATCCCTATAAAATACCAACAACATTTTTTACAAAACTAGAACAACTCATACTAAAATATCCTCAAAGTTTCCTCAAAAAATTACATTTTTTGAAAAAAAAACATTTTCCAGCAATTCCACTCCTGGGCATTTATCTGATGGAAACAAAAACACTAACTCAAAAAGAGATCCACACTCATATGTTCACTGTAACATTAATTACAATAGCCAAGAAATGGAAGTGTTTGTTGACAGATGAATAGATAATGTGACACACAGGAATATTATTCAGACATAAAAAAGAAGGAAATCTTGCCATTTGTGAAAACATGGATGGAACAAGAGGGCATTACGCTAGGTGAAACAAGTCAGACAGATATAGACAAGTATCATCTCACTGTTATGTGGAATCTAAAAAAATAAACAAAACAACCCCCCGAACCCCAAACTTGAACTCATTGATACAGAGAACAGATTTCCAGAGATGGTTGCCAGAGGCGGGATGAGCAGTGGATGAGATGGGCAAAGGTGGTCAAAAGCTATCAACTTTCAGTTATAAAATATATAAGTCCTGGAGATGTAATGTACAGAATGGTGACTATTATTAATAATACCATATTATATTTTTAAGTTGATAAGCGTAAATCCTAAAAGTTCTCATCACAAGAAAAAAATCTGTAACTGTGTGTGGTGCTGGATATTAACTAGATTTGTGATGATCACTTTGCAATATATAATCATTATGATGTATGCCTGAAACTAATATAATGTTATATGTCAATTATATTTCATTTAAAAAATGAAGTAGTATCTCTGTGGATGAAAAAAAGAAAGAAAGCTCTTACTATAACAAGCATACACACACTAAAATAAATCATCATGCCAGGGGTAGGGGTAGGGCACCTGGGTGGCTCAATTGGTTGAGTGTCCAACTCTTGATTTTGGCTCAGGTCATGATCTCAGGGTCATGGGATTGAGCCCCATGTGGGGCTCTGTGCTCAGTGGGGAGTCTGCTTGAGGTTCTCTCTCTTCCTCTCCTTCTGTCCTTCCCACCACTCTCATGTGCTCTCTCTCTAAAATAAAATAAAATCTTAAAAAAAACCAAAACTGAATACATGACACTCTCTAACCATGATGTAGAATTACAAATGGAAGTCTGGAGTGAGGGGGGGAAAAACCCAATCACCAGGGAATTAAAATAGACCCTCCTGAGTACCTATTAAGTCAAAGAGAGAACTTTAATTGCCAGTGAATTAGAAAATGAGAGAATTATAGATTAAAAACTCATGGGTCGCCAAAACTCTTTAAAAAAGATAAAATTTATATCCCTAAATACATGCAACTAACATTTTTTAAAAGAATAAAAATATTAAACATTCAACTAAATAAGAAAAATAATTAACAAGCAAACCATAAAGAGAAATAATAAAGAAACTAGTAAATAACAAAGCAGTTGACATAGGCAGGAGCTGATTCTCTAAAGAATGAAATATATATGCCACTGGCCAAAGAAGAAAATATACCAATAAACTAAAAATAGAAACAAGAAAGGGGCTATAACAGGATGGCTGGGTGATGGAGACTGGAGAGGGTATGTGTTATGGTGAGTGTGGTGAATTGTGTAAGACTGATAAAATCACAGACCTGTACCCCTGAAACAAATAATACATTATATGTTAATAAAAATAATTAAAAAAAGAAAGGGGCTATAACGCATAAATCATCTTAAAACTGTATGCCAATAAAAATAAAATTTCCCAAAGAACAATTTTTGTTTAAAAATTTTCTAAGACTAAAAAAAAAAAAAATTTTTCTAAGACTGACTCAAGCAGCAGGAAACTTTTGTAGGCCAATGTAGCAGAGCCTGCTAATTGCTTTCCAACATCCAGGCTCCCCTTCTATATTGACAAAGGCTTGAAATCTCAGCGGGACATAAGGTCATCCAGCTAGAGACATTTCCCAGCCACCATGTAGGCAGGTGTACCCATGTGACTAAATTATAGCAAATGGGATTTGAGAAGAGAGATGATGTCACATCTTTAAAAAGGAGCTGCTTGGCCTCCAGTTCTTCGTTTCCCCTTCCAAAGGCCTGGAATGCAACGGGATGAGAGTCAGCTGCTACCATGGGAAAGATAATGCCCCCAGGAGGTGGTGAAGCAAGGAGATGACTGGAACCTGGGTTTCCAGATGACCTAATGGATGAGAGCTGCTTACCCTTATCACTGCCTGCCACCTAACAACTCAGACTTTTATATGAGAAAGAAATAGGCTTTCTTGTTCAAACCACATAGACTCGGTTAAAGCTGAAAAATTAATTTCCTAATTAGTAGAATGAATGGTCATGAAAGAAAAATGTAAAGTTCTTGGGTAAGCCTGGGAGAGTAGGGTTTAGTTAAATCAAGAAAACGTGTGCTTGTCGGGGCACCTGGGTAGCTCAGTAGGTTAAGCATGCGACTCTTGGTTTTGGCTCAGGTCATGATCTCAGGGTCATGAAATCGAGCCCCGGAGTAGGGCTCTGCACTCAGGGCGGCGTCTACTTCAGATTCTCTCTCCCTCCCCTTCTTCCTCTGCTCCCCCCTTCCCCGCTCATGCTCTCTCTCTCAAATAAATAAAATCTTTTTAAAAAAAGAAAAAGAAAATGTGATTCTCTTAAGACTGTAGTGTAGAGGTTGCTTTTGGGCAACCAACTTGAACAATGGAATCTTAAGTGAGGTAGAAGGGCCCACAGTGACCACCAGGCTGAATACAAACAGACCGATTAGGTGACCCACCTCAAAATATCCATAATCCCTGGCTGACCAATGGGTTACTTACACCTGGATACAGGCACCAAAAAGGGAAAATTCCGTATGTTCCCACACCTCCTCACTTTCCCCCCTAACTCCAGCCCCCCACCACAGCCTCCTTGCAGACAGTCTCTCCCTTGCTGTCCCGCCTGCCATTCCCTTATAGTGTGTTTAGTAAACTCCTTTGCTCTGCCTTGGGTGAATTTTACTACCCTCACCACCGACCTCTACCTGATCAGGTCACCCCACATTTGGTGGCCCCCCATCTGATCAGAAGACCCCCACATGCAGTTTGTTCCATGACCCTGGGGCTTCACTATGTCCAATGAAAAGATTTTGGTGAAAGAGAAATAAGAAGTTGAGGGAGGAAAAACACAGTGGAGCGTGACGATAAGACTTGGATAAAGAATGAATAATCTGGGGACGCCTGGGTGGCTCAGTTGGTTAAGCAGCTACCTTCGGCCCGGGTCATGATCCCAGGGTCCTGGGATTGAGTCCCACATCGGGCTCCTTGCTCAGCAGGGCGCCTGCTTCTCCCTCTCTCCTTCTGCTTGTGCTCTCTGTCAAATAAATAAAATCTTAAAAAAAAAAAGAATAATCTGAGAGGATTCTTATACTGAAGTCTCAAAAGTTACTCATAAAAGTGCTTTTCCCATACACCAGTATTTCTCTACCTTGTTTTAGGTCATGGATTCCTCTGCAAATCTAATGAAAATGACTCTTCCCCCAGAAAATTCCTAAGTATAATTAGAAAACTCCCACATCTGGGATGCCTGGGTGGCTCAGTCCGTTAAGTGTCTGCCTTCCACTCAGGTCATGATCTCAGGGTCCTGGGATCAAGTCCCGCATTGGGCTCCTTTCTCAGCGGGGAGCCTGCTTCTCCCTGTGCCTACTGCTCCGCCTTCTTGTACTCTGACAAATAAAATCTTTAAAAAAAATAGAAAAATAAAAACTCCCACATCTTAAATAGAGATACAAAAAGCTCACTAGGCATGATTTTCATTCATTTTATTTTATTATTTTTTTAGAGAGGGAAAGAGGGCATATGAGTGGCAGTAGTGGGGATGGAGGGGGGAAAGGCAGAGAGGGAGAGGGAGAGAATTTTTTTAAAAGATTTTATTTATTTATTATTTGCTAGAGAGAGAGTGCAAGCAGGGGGAACAGCGGAGGGAGAGGGAGAAGCAGGCTCCCCACTGAGCAGAGAGCCTGATGTGGGGCTGGGCTCGATCCCAGGACCCTGAGATCATGGCTGACGCTTAACCGACTGAGCCACCCAGGCGCCTTGAGGGAGAGAATCTTAAGCAGGCTCCACGCCCAATGCAGAGCCCAAGGCGGGGCTCCATCTCATGACCCTGAGATCATGACTTGAGTGGAAATCAAAGGTCAGCCACTTAACCGACTGAGCCATGCAGGCACCCCCTAGGCATGCTTTTCAGAAAGGAAATTCTTTGGCTCCTTCCAAGATCTAAATCAGGATCTCTAAGTGTGAAACACAGAAATCTACATTGTCAACAAGTACCTCAAGTTCACACCTTGAGAAATATTGTTCTAAAGCTAACTCCTAAACCCCACATTAAAGACTCTTCTTTTCACATGGGAAAATCCAACTGAAATACGTTTTACCAAGATCATTCTAGAGCCTGAGTTTCTGCTTCAAGCCTGGTACTTCTTGAATCACTCTTCATTTCACAGTTTAGAAACAACACTTGTGGCAAGTTCAAACACAACTTAAGACAAAAATTGAAACTGTTCTGGGGAGCCTGGGTGGCTTAGTTGGTTAAGCGTCTGACTCTTAATTTTGGCTCAGGTCATGATCTCAGGGTCGTGAGATCAAGTCCCGCCTCCGGCTCTGCACTGGGCGTGGAGCCTGCTTAAAATTCTCTCTCTCCCTCTCATCCCATCTCCCCACCTCTTAAAAAAAAAAAAAAAAGGAATGACCTGAGTTATCATTTCTTCTTAAATTTGTAAAGATTAATAAACGCCTCCCTGGCAATATGCCATATAGATAATGCTAGCCAAATATGTTTAATACCAAGCTGTGCCATAAACATCTTTTACAATTTTATAATCAGAATAACCAACGCTATTTAAAATTCAAGATAATCAGCTTGATCTCAGTTATGTAAAAATAATGCATAAAGACAGACAGCAAGTGAATAAGCCAAAACTCCCCTGTGACCTCGGAGCGCCGGACCTGTGATGTTTTACACTTCCTTCTACTTTTCTACACTTTCCAAGTAGACAATGAGGAGCTCTACATACACAGGAGTTTGGTGTAGGGATAAAATTCCACAGTGGCTGTCCACACCCCCAGGTTCTAACTTAGGTTTGGCTACTGTGGCAATACGTCCACAGGCAAAATCACTTGATCAGTTTCTCCTTTCACCTCTGACATTACACAGAAGATTATCTAGGCCAATACTTCTCCAAAGTCGTAATTTCCTAGATATTTTTTTCTGGATATTGTGACTTCACCCAAGCCCTGTCTTCCCAAGCACTGCGGAAGTACCAAGGACTTGAGGAATTTCTCTTGCTGTGGATCCTAAGCCAGCTTTGTTATTTTAAAATAATGAAGGGGACCATGTTCTTCTTGAGAACTTCAGCGCCATGGACCAGTCCAGCATCTCCCAACCAAAGCAATGATGCCATTATCACGTCAGGGAGAGACAAGTGATTTAAAACTGATTATCTGGAAAAACTGCCTCGGGTACCGAAAGACAGGAGTTCATCCACCTGTCAGGTCCCCAGGTGTGAAACCGTTCCATCCGCGCCGGTTCAGAAGCCGGGAGGGAGACTCTCCTTCCTCCAGTCTCGCCGCCTTTCCCTAAGAGCGCATCGGGGGTCCCCCTCCTCCCTCCGTCAAAGGCGCGGGACTGGGAGGAGGCGGCCCGCCCCAGTCGAACCCTACTAGCCGGGGCCCCGCGCCCGGCGCTCCCCGACCCCAGCGCCGCGCCCGCCGCCCACGGCACCGACAGCCCCCCAGCCAGGCCAGGGGGAGACCGAGCCAACAGCCAGGGAGGAGGCCCAGCCGCAGTCCCCTCTCGGGTGGGCGTGTCCGCTCAGGGACCCGGGCTCTGGAGGGACCGGCCACGCCCCGGACGCCGCCAGGAGCCAAGCGCCGAGGGAGGGGCGGCGGGGAACCGCGGCCTGGCGCCGGGGGCAACGAGTACCTGGCTGCCGAACTGAGGACAACTGAGGGCACTCGCAGAGCAGGGCGGGAACGCTTCCAGCAATGGCGCCGGCTTGGCGGGGCTGGCCTCCAGGCAAGCCAGTGCGCCTGCGCACCGGGGCTCCCGAACTACAGTGCCCAGAATCCTCAGCGCGGAGCTTTTTCTTCTTCTTTTTCTTCTCCTCTTTTGTCTGCATTTCAGAGGGAATTGGCTGTGTTTATCGACAATTTGGGTGACCTAAAGAATCCAACTAAATTCAACAAACTTGTATTGAGAGGCCACAGCTATTTGTCAAGCATTAGCATGAGCGACGCAAAAAAGAATGACACCACCCCTTGGCACTGAACATTTCAGTGGGACTAAAGAAATAAAGTCAATGCCAGAAGATACAGGACTTCTGTAAATTAGCTAAAACCTCGGATGCCGGTAGAGTCGGTAAGTGCGTGTGAACACTTTTGCCTGCCTTTCAAGTTCTTGCCTGAAAAATCGATAATGCCTTCATTATAATTTCTGGGTTTTTGAACTAGAGCTTCCTTCTCAGCTCATCCAAACAAAAAATAATAATATTTATATTAATTTATATTTATTTTTATATCTTATTTATGTTGATATTTATTATCTTACTATATATTATAAAGCATGTTTTCCTTTGCCTCAGTTTCGTGGTTTAAATACCCAGAGGCCATATTTTCCATAGTGAAACAGACTCCGTAAGAGCTCTAAGGCAGCTTCCTTCAAAGAAACCCTTTCCTCCTAACCCACTCCTATTCTGTGTGCCTTGGATTGTCTGCTGCTGTGATTGTGTATGAGGCCCACACAGGGGGAGCCCCCTGCATATGGGGATCTGCAGGGAAATAAAAAGCTCAGTGAAACTGAACACTGTAAAACTGGTCTCTTGGGATCTCAAAGAGCCAGTGGATACCTCTGGAGAAAGGATGACATAACCCAGTGACTCTTGAACTATGAGAGGAAAAAATATAAGTGGGAAATCAAACTACTAGAGATAATAAATATATCTGAAATGAAAAAAAAAAAACCCACTAGATTAGATGAAGAGCAGATTAGACACCACAAAAGGAAAGAATCATGAATTCAAAGACACAGAAACTGTCCAAAATGAGACACAGAGAGAAAAAAGAGGGTGAATGAACGGAGCACCAGTGAGTTATAGAACAACATGAAGTAGCCTAACTATGTGTAATTAGAATCCTAGAAGGAGGGGAGAGAGTGAGGGAGTAGAAAAACATTTGGAGAAATAATGACTAAATACTTTCAACATTTGATGAAAATTATAAACCCACAGATCCAAGAAGCTCAGTGAAATTCAAAGAAAACACATGAAGAAAATCACACCAAGGCACATCATGATCAAATTGCTACAAACCAGTAATAAAAGAAAAGCTTAAAAACAGCTAGAGGAACAAAGATATGTGTTTATTGGGTTCAAAGATAATTACTTTTCATCAAGAAAAAAAAAAAGGCAAGCAGAGGACAATGGAGCACTTTTAAAGTACTGAGAGGGAAAAAAAACCTGTCAGCCCATAAATTTACACCCATCAAAATATTGTCAGAAATGAAGGTAAACTGATAGTAGGATGAGATGGACTAGGAATACTTCTCTCTGTATCTCCCACTAATTATAGCTAAAAACCCTTGATATTATATATATAAAACATAAGAAAACTCTGAAAGTTGGACAGAAGGCAGGCCAGCTAGGGGTCTTGCAACCTGGGGAAAGACACAGTGGTTTAAGTTTTCTACGTTTTTGTTTTGCCTCATATACCCTGATCTGGGTGCTGGAGAAGCTGGTGACCCATTATTCCAATGGGCGCAGATACAAAAATAAAAATAAAAATAAAAGCTCCAAGGAAAGCCTCTCTTTCCAGCAATGGACCAAGAAAAGGGCAGCCTAGAATGACAGAAAATCTTTAGGAAAATAACCACTCTGCTTTAGCCAACCACCACAGAAAAAAACTGTGGTCCCACCTCATCCCCAGCAGCAAAGACTGAGATGGGGTGCCCTTCTGTCCTTGCAGAGATAGTGTCAGAACAGGCAGTCTGGGCAGCTGTGACTTTCCCTCCCACCCACCTACTAGTAGTATTGAGCCTCCCCATGTACAATGTCAGTGACAACTATATGGAAGTAGTAAGAGAATGCCTCTCCCCTCCTAGACAAGGTGTTGTTAATGGTTATGTTCTAGTGGGGAGCCTGAAATTCTACCCCTGCCCAGCAGGAACAAGAAATTCCCCTCCCCAGAGCTGTCAATAGAAGCTGAGTCACTTGGACTTGAATTCCCACCAAACAATAATAGTACAGTGGTGAACTTCCTTCTCCCACCAGAGTGGTGTCAGGGGAGGCCTGCTAAAACACAAGATTCAAATAAAAATCCAGAGGGTCACAGTACTCAAAAGTATCTCTAAATTTGACCAAAGACATAAATCTTCAGATTCAAGATGCTAAGAAAATGGCAACTAGGATAAACACAAAGATGTGCAGTCTAAGACAGATCATAATCAAACTCCTGAGAACTAAAGATGAAGAATAATCCTGTAAGCAGCAAGAGAAAAAGGACACCATACCAGTAACAGAAAAACTATTCAAATGACGGTGGACTTCTCATCAGAAACCATGGGGGCCAGAAGGAGCTGAAACATTTTTCAAGTGCTGAAAGAAAGTAACTGTAAGCCCAGAATCTAAGTTTATTTTTTTTTAAGATTTTATTTATTCATTTGAGAGAGAGAGAACAAGAGAGAGCATGGAAGGGGGAGGGTCAGAGGGAGAAGCAGACTCCCTGGTGAGCAGGGAGCTTGATGCGGGACTCAATCCCGGGACTCCAGGATCATGACCGGAGCCGAAGGCAGTCACTTAACCAACTGAGCCACCCAGGCGTTCCAAGAATCCGAATTTAATTGGTGACAACGCAGCAAAAATTCTTCCCATCATGTTTCCACCCTTGTACTGCAATTTAAAGGTACATTGGAACAAGAAAATACATTGTTTCATATAACATGTGCTAAAATTCTTCCTGAAGATGAACCAAAAACTATTTGATGATAACACTCAATAATTTAAAGCAGAGAAATTGGAAGACAAGCTAAAAGTGAAAGAATGAGAAGCAGCATGGGTTAAAAGAGATGCTCTAGAAAAACAAAATCCCCAGCATGTAGTATATAGTCAAACAAGTGCCTTCTGATTGCATTGGCAACAGATGGTCTTTATTTGAAGATGTGCAGATGCTAAGATAGTGCATGAAGAGGTTTGCCAGGCACAGAAGGGTCAGAAGGGTTTCCTCTAGTGCACCCTGGCAGTCAGAGCTGGCTCAGAATATGCATAGCCAAGAAACCTTGGATACTTACTGCAGAGATGCTGAGCTGGTTTTCCAGATGGGCATTAGCTTTTCATGGTGGAATGTGTCAGGGCATGGGGATGCATTTTTTTCTGGATTCTATAGAAAATGCATACTTTTTTTGTGCCACACAAATCAGTTACACTTGAAAATCAAAATTTTCTCTATCCCAGTTTCATAGGAATAACAAAATTCTGCATTACCTCAAGATTCAGTGTTCAAACAATGGTGAATTATCAGATTTCATTTTCATAAATATTTCACCACATGTGTGATGGTGGCATCAAATCACAGCATATTCTTTTTTTAAAAATAATTTATTATTTTTATTTATTTATTTTTAAAGATTTTATTTATTTATTTGAGAGAGAGAGAATGAGAGAGAGCACGAGAGGGAGGAGGGTCAGAGGGAGAAGCAGACTCCCTGCTGAGCAGGGAGCCTGATGTGGGACTCGATCCCGGGACTCCAGGAT